ATGGACCTGGTTAGAATCTTACTTCTTCCACTTGATAAATGAGAAGCCTTGGGAAAGTGACTTACTTTTTCTGAGCTTCAGTTTCTTTATCTCTTATGTACATATAGTAATATCTCTCACATAGTTATTATATAGATTTGAAGTAGAAAGCATCTTATATAATGTTTGCCTATTAGTAGGTGTTTGTCTCAGTCTATTTGAGCTACTATAACTAAATACCACAGACTGGGTCATTTATTAAAAACAGAAATTTCTTATTGTTTTGGAGGCTGTGAAGTCTGAGATCAAGTTACCAGTAGACTCAGTGTCTGGTCAAAGTTTGCTTTGCTTTAAAGATGGTGCCTTTGTTGTCCTCACATGGTGGAAGGAACAGGCAGCTCCATTTAACCTCTTTTATAAGGGCCCTGCCCTCATGACTTAATCACTTTCCTGAAAGTCCCACCTCTTAATACTATTACATTGAGTATTACATTCCAACATGAATTTTGGGGTGATGCCAAGATTCAGATCATAGCAGTGTTCAAGACATGGTAGCTGTTCTCTGTCACCACCACCACCACCACCACCATCATCATCATCATCGTCCTGAGTAGTTTCTAACAGATAAAGCATTATGGTTAGGGGAGGAGACAGGATGACACATTTGTTGTAGTATGTGATAGAAGATGTGGCTTTTAATTCATTGGTTTGGTTCAGTATGCCAGAGACCCAGACACAGGGGAAAGAACTCCTTTTCTCAGAATTGTAAAGCTGACTGCTAGAAGCCAGGATTGAAACCTACTCTTCAACTGTAGACCTTAGTAAGAAAGATCTAGTCCCCAAGTAAGACTGGATAAGAGAAATCCACTTATCTGATTTTTGGCAAATACTTCACCTAATAAATCTTACTGCATTTAGAGATAAAAGCTTAAAACTCAACGTGAGACACTGGAATAAGATGATGAAACAGGGAAGAGCAAATATAATCCTAGAGACTCAGAAGAAGAACACATCTCTGAAAAAGAAATGGCACAGGATCAAGAAGGCAGTTTCTGGTAATTATCTTATATCCTTTAGAATTTAGACTTGTGAATCAAAAAGAGAAATAATAGAAAATACACTGATATGAAAAGAAGATGAAGTAAAGAGAAAAATATGATTAAAAATTATGAAAGAAATGCAATAGCGGAATTGAAAATTAACACCTTTTGAGTGTCAGCTGTGTGCTTTACATTATTTACTCATTAAATCTTTCTTCAACTCAATGAGATTGTAACTATTATCTTTATAGATGAGAAAACTAAAGCAGAGAGGTTTAGAAATTCATCTGTGGTCCTAGATTTGATTAAGGGCAGAGTCCACATTTTGAATTCAGGTGTCTATGGAGGGTGGTTTTAACTAGTGTGCCATACTGCTTTGGAGGTACTTAGAGCAGAATTAACAGTACTGAAAATCGAAGCAGTGATGAAGACAAAAGTCTAGCAACACTCCAGAATGTAGAGAAAAGTGGGGAAGAGATGAAAGAAACAATAGAAAGAGGAAAGTTGTAGAAACAAAGACTAATGAACAAACCTAGGAATTACAGCCATTCTTATAGTGAAACATAAGCAAATAGAACAGAAACAATTATCAAAGTTATTATTGATGAAAATGTTTCTGGTTTGAAAAGTACCCTTGTATATAAATAAATAGGGCTCTGGTATTCTAAACAAGATCTACCAGGAAATCTGCAGTGAAAATATATACCAACGAGGTTTTTAAATACAAAAATTTCTTAAATATTTAGGAAAAAAAGAAAAAAAATCACTGAACTCGGTTTTTTTCTATATCTCTCAATATCAGAAGACAATAGAATTACAGAGTTTTGAAAGAGGGTATGACCAAGGCAGTTATATTCAAAGCACTTATCTTGCATGTGGTTGAGTAACAGCAAAAAACAAAACAAAACAAAATTCATGTATTCAAAAACTCAGAAAATATTCTTCTTAAACAATATTTGAAAGCATATTCCAACAACAAATAAATGAAGCAAACATTGGGATTTTGTGGTGTTGAATGAAACAAGCCACAATTGACTGGAAAAGCAGATAGTTTGTAAAATGGCAAAGTGCAAGACTGAGGCCAAACTGTTTTAACTCCAGCTCATTCAGACCTACAGACAAACTGTTTTCAACTTCGCACGGACTTGTGTCCCAAAGATAAACCAATGATTATTCCTGCAACTTGCCCAATTTATAAATTTTGGCCAATTTCTGCCTGAACCACACTTAGCAACTTTCACTCTGAAGCTGCTCTGTGACTAATATCAACCCCTAAAGCTCTAACTTCCTCTGCGTTTTTGGAGCCCCTGCTGAGACTTCCTCAAGGTGGTGCTCTCTCCGGCTCAGCCAGTTTAATAAAACACAGCTTTGTCCAATCAACAGGTTTCCCTGCTGTCTTTGTGGGAGCAGTATGGAAGGTCTGACAGTGAGCACTAGAACATGTTATGCACAGTAAATTAGAATATAAGACCAGATGCAAATGTCAAAATAGTTTTCATGAAAATAAAATAGTTAAGGTAAAAATAGTAACATGAAAAATATAAAGGATAGAAAGATCATTAAAAAAGTAGCAGTACATGAAACTGCTAAATATTTTTATTTTAAACATGGTGGACTCTAAACATAATTATTTTAATTTTTATAGCTGCAGAAATGTCAGTTTAAAATATTTTTGAAAATGTAAATCTAACTAATATAACTCTGAGTAGATTGGTGTTTTCAAAATACTAGCAAAAAATCTAATAAAGCCATATGCCAGGTATAATACTAAATAAAAATGGGTTAAACATTTCCGAATAAGACTCATACTGTGTATATATATAAGCTAATTGCTTGTGTCTGTCTAAAACAGATACATTCAATTAAAAATGGATTTATTAAAGCTAAAAGAAGTGGGCAAAACAGTAAGTATAAATAGAAATAGTTTAATATTATCAGATAATTTAAATTGTTGATAAAAAGATTAATTTCATTGATAAAGAATGTTTATACAATAAAGCTTTAACTGTCACGACATTTTATGTGCTGTATAGAAATGATTAAAGCACAGTGAAATCTGCTTTCTTTCGTTAGGATGGAAAAGAATTTAAAAGATACTTATTGTCTAGTGTCAGTACCCAGTGATATGACTGTGAGGACAAAGGAACTCTCAACATTTGTGGGAGGAACAGAACTTGGAATCAGTTTTCACAAGTATTATCCAGCAATATCTATAAAGAGCCTGAACAGTGTGTATACCTGTTGAACAAGCATTTCCACATCTAACAGATTTAATCAAAGCAAATAATTGGAGAACTCTGCAAAGATGAATATAAATAATATATATTTACTGCAAAGTTACATATGGTAACAACAATGGGTAGTCATCTCATTCTCCAAGATAGGGGATTTGTTAAAGTGTGGAATGTCCACAAAATGGAATAGAATGCAGTCATTTACAATAGCATAGACCAAGTGTATCAGACAAACACCAGACAGTAGAACCAGGACTTAATTCCTTGGAAATCAGACCTAGACAAATGCATTTTTAAAAATTTGCATGGAAAGAAAAAAATAATGTTAAATAAAAATAAGTTTCACAGAATATAAAATATGTAATTTTATATGGGTGTGTGTGTGTATATGTGCACATAGAAAAGAGGAATGGAGGGATTCCTCTGCTTCCCAGAGGCATAATAAATAGGGAAGCAGTAGTTATTTCTGGATGGTAGGACTACAGGTGGCTTTTATTTTCTTCTCTATGCTTTTTATACCACATGATTTTTTAACATAATGAGAATGTTTTCATAATATGAATGTGATAATTCATAAAGAACCATAAAACTTTTTTTTTTCTTTGAGATAGGGTCTTGCCTTGTCATCCAGGCAGGAGTGCAGGGCATGGTCATGGCTCACTGCAGCCTTGAACTCCTGGGCTCAAGCAATCATCCCACCTCAGCCTCCTGCATAGCTGGGATCACAGGTGTGTGCCACTATGCCTGACTAATTTTTTTATTTTTTGTACAGACAAGGCTTCCCTATGTTGTCCAGGCTGGTCTTGAAACCCCTGGGCTCAAGTGATCCTCCTGTCTTGGCCTCCCAAAGTGTTGAGATTATAGGTGTGAGCCACCACACCCAGGCCAAAATTATTTTCTTTAAAGAAACCCTTTCTGAAGGTCATGAAAAGGAGGCTTGAAAACATGTACGGACACACCAAAAAATTGTTTTTGAAAGTGTAAAGCATTTCAACAAAGGTTTTTTTAATCTTTGATTTTAGGTTTGGGGTGCATGTGCAGGTTTGTTATTTAGGTAAATTGTGTGTCACAGAGATTTGATATTTTTCAATTTCATCACCCAGATAATAAGCATAGGACATGAGAGGTGGTTTTTCAATCCTTTCCCTCCTCCCTCCTCAAGTAGGCCCTGGTGTCTGTTGTTCCCTTCTTTGTGTACATGTGTCCTCAATGTTTAGCTCCCACTCATTAGTAAAAACACGTGGTATTTGGTTTTCTGTTGCTGTGTTAGTTCGTGTGGGATAATGGCCTTCTGCTCCATCCAGTTGCTGCAAAGGACATGATCTCATTCTTTTTATTGGCTGCATAGTATTCCATGGTGTATATGTACCACATTTTCTTTATACAGTCAACCTTTTTTTTTTTTTTTTGAGACAGGGTCTTTCTCTCTTCAGGCTGGAGTGCAGTAGCATGACCTCAACTCACTGCAACTTCCACCTCCTGGGCTGAAGCAATTCACCCACTTCAGCCTCCTGAGTAGCTGGGACAACAGGTGCGTGCCTCCATGCCTGGCTAATTTATATATATATTTGGTAGCCACAGGGTTTTGCTATGTTGCCTAGGCTGGTCTCAAACTCCTGGGCTCAAGCGATCCTTCTGCCTTGGCCTCCCAAAGTGCTGGGGTTATAGGCATGAGCCACTGTGCCTGGAACAGTTTACTATTGATGGGCATTTAGGTTGATTTCATGTCTTTGCTATTGTGAATTGTATTGTGATGATTGTGCACATGCATGCGTCTTAATGGTACAACAATTTATGCTTCTTTGGGTATATATCCAATAATGGGATTGCTGGGTCAAATGGTAATTCTAAGTTCTTTGAGAAATCGTCACACTGCTTCCCACAATGGCCGAACTAATTAACATTCTTACCAGCAGGGTATAGTATTCCCTTATCTCTGCAACCTCACAAACATCTATAATTTTTTGACTTTTTAAAAATAATAGCCATTCTGATGATGTGAGATAGTATCTTATTGTGGTTTTGATTTGCATTTTTCTAATGATTAGTGATGCTGAGCATTTTTTCATATGATCGTTGGCTACTATTTTCTTTTGTAAAGTGTCTGTTCCTGTCTTTTGCTTACTTTTTTTGTTTTTTGGGTTTGTTTTTTGCTTGTAGATTTGTTTAAGTTCCTTAGAGACTCTGGATGTTGTTGTCTGTTTCCTCTGTTGATAGTTTCTTTTGCTCTGTAGAAGCTCTTTAGTTTAAGTCCCATTTGTCAGTTTTGTTTTTGTTGCAGTTGCTTTTGGTGTCTTTGTCATGAAATCTTTGTCAGGGCCTATGTCCAGAATGATATTTCCTGGGTTATCTTTTGGAGTTTTTATAGTTTTAGAATTTACGTTTTAGCCTATAATCCACTGAGTTGAGTTTTGTATATGGTGTAAGGAAGGGGTGTAGTTTCGATCATCTGCATACGGCTAGCCAGTTATCCTAGCACCATTTATTGAATAGGGAGTCTTTTCTCTGTTGCTTGTTTTCATTGACTTTGTTGAAATTCAGATAGTTGTATATGTGTGGCATTATTTCTTGGCTCTCTGTTCTGTTCCACTGGTCTATATGTCTGTTTTTATACCAGTATCATGGTTACTGCAGCCTTGGAGCATAGTACATTGATAATTCCTATCCATGAAGTTTTTCATTTGTTTGTGTCATCTCTGATGTCTTTGAGCAATGTTTTTAATTCTCATTGTAGACATCTTTCACCTCCTTGGTTAGCTGTATTCCTAGATATTTTATTATTTTGGAGGCTATTGCGAATGGGATTGCATTCTTGATTTGGTACTAAGCTTGAATGTTGGTGTATAAAAATGTTATTGATTTTTGTAGATTGATTTTGTATTCTGAAACTCTTCTGAAGGTGTTTATCAGATAAAGTAGTTTTGGGCAGAGATTATTGGGTTTCGTAGGTATAAATCATATGGTCTGTAAACAGAGATAGTTTGACTTCCTCTCTTTCTATTTGGGTGCCTTTTATTTCTTTTTTTTCCCTGATTGCTCTGGCTAGAACTTCTAGTATTAAGATGAATAGGAATGCACACCACAGTTTTGAAAGAGAAATTATATCAATTGATAACAGTTATCTTCAAAATATTTGGAAACACTTTCTAAAAGAATGATAATTTGGAGGGTTTTTTTCCAGTAACATATTACAATGTGTTACAAATCAGAATACGGAAAAAGGTGTGTTAATGGACTAATAATAGACATATTAATGAAATTGAAGGCAGAGTCCTCAGCAGACCCATGTGATAAAGATCACACTTAAAATAAGTGGGAAGGAAGAAATATATCATAAGTAATGCTAGACAGCAGAGGAAAAAACTGTTTGGGAAAAAGTTTTACCTAAAATAAATTCCACCTGAATTGAAGATGTAAATGTTTAAAAAGAACTGAGGTAAATCAGATATAGAACAAGTAAATAAATACAGAAGAACTGGCCTTAATGTAGGTGACAACTATGTCTATATTTATACCTATACTTATCTACATTTATATCATCTGGAAGTGTGAAAATCTAAGGATGGCACAACAGGCAGAAGCCATAAGATAAATGAAGGAAGATTTGGCACATAAAGAATAAAACCATAAATAAATACCATAAATAAAAAGAAAAGACATATGCATGAATGATGTATTACTTTTGCAATCTGCTTTCTGATTTTTCTACGATGGGAATGGTACTTGCTGTTCTCTATGAGGACTAGATACACAGTTGATGACAGAGAGGCAGTAGAACATGGAAATTGAAGGGACTTCAATTTCATATAACCTCTGCTTTAATCCTGGGATACTTTTTGTGTCACATTAAACAATTTAACCTAGCTTGTCTGTGCCTCAGTTCCTTGATCTTTGTAATGAGTAGTAGAACCTACCTTAGAGTTGTGAGAATTAAATGTATTAATGTGTATGCATGGCTGTTAGAACAGTTCCTGTTACTGAACGAGCACTTAAAATGATAACTATTATTATCTAAGACCTTTTCTAGTTTCAACGTCCTACAGTTCTGCAGAGGACAAAAGAAAGAATGGGAGCTTGAGGGAAACAATTTCTTTCCCAATAGAATAACTAACTTTAGAAGGGGGTATCACATCCTAATAAACTGTGCTTTTTAGCTGAAGGTTTAAAAGAAGCTTGCGGTTCCAGGCAATGGTCAAATGTGGTCAGTTGTTAGGGCTAAAATTATATTAATGACATTATGTAATTTTACATAATAAGAGAAAGCAAGAAACACGCACCTTTTATTACTTGTGTAAGCAAAGCAAACATATAAAATAATGGCACAAATTTTTTGGGGTGAGAGGGAGTTGGGAAGGAGACAAGTTCTCTTTGTTCTAACAAATGGACAGTAAATGCAATTACAATTTTCCCTTGATTTCTTCTCTACATGAAAGCTGAAATCCGGGATATACCTGCTACAAATGATCCTTGTTCTCAGTTTAGTCTTTTATCTTCTATTTGACTCTGTGGTGACATTGATAAGTTGCTTCATCCCTTTGCTATTGTTGTCCACGTGACACACACCTTTTAGAGTTGTGATCAAAAGAATAGATGTGCTGAGGAGAGGATGAGTAATTGTAAGCCTACCACCAATCCACATGATATCTACACCAGAGAAAAGAGAGTGAGGAAGAGAAGTAACAATTAACTGAAAGACAGCTGTTTCGAAGCTGATTGGGTGGAAACATATGACCAAAATACATACTGTGTTTGGAGGCTCCCATTTTTTCTTTTAAAATTATGTTTTTTTTTCCCAGTGCCAAAAGCAATATTCACTAATGGTAGAGAAAAAAGAACTATAGATAAGTAAAATAACATTACCTATAATCCCAATCCCCAGTTTTATAGAGAATAAAAGAATGAATGGGTATAAGGAGCAAACTGCTCTTGAGAATACAGCATTTTGATGTATCTCTGTAATTTTAAAAAAATTCATCTAGAGCTACTTTTTTTTTTTTTTTTAAATCAAAGGCAGGGTCTCATTATGTTGCTATGTTGCTCAGGTTGGTCTTGAATTTCTGGGCTCAAGTGATCGTCTCACCTCAGCGTCCTGAGTACCTGGTACTACAGGTGTGTGCCACCACCCTCAGATATAGCTGTTTTTTTTTAAAAAATGTATTCAAACACTATTTGATGTTTTATACTTCTTTTTCACTTACTATATCACAAATGTATCTGTAAAGAACAGCAAAGCATTTATGAACCAAATTTTAATAACTGCATAAAATTCTATTATACAATTCCATTATAAATATCATAATTTATTTTACTTATTTATCAGTTTTGGACACTCAGATTACCTAGATTTTGTACCTGTTTTTATGTAGAAATCTTTGGGCACATGAATTATTTCCTTATCTTTGTACCTGATAATAGAGCTACAAAGTTTCTTGAAATGGAATTGCTGGGTCAAAGTTTATGCATATTTTAAGGAGCTTGATACTGTGCCAAATTGCTCTGGAGAAAGGTTTTATCAATTTATACCTCCACCAGCAGTGTATATAAGAGTGCCTAATTCTTTTTGTCTTTGACAATTCTAGGCATTCTAATTATTTTTTATCTTTATGTTCTTATTGAACTAATCCTGCCCTCACAAAGATTTCATGTATGAGGAGATAAGATGATATACAGACAATTTCAATTTACAGTGATTATCTCTGTAATAAAAGAAGTATAGGGATCTGTTGAAGCCCGAAGAAGCACCTTAACTAGAATTTGCAGTTTTTTCATTATGGTTTTAATTTATATTTCTTTGATTACTAACAGGTTTAATTTTTTAAAGTAGGTTATTCACAATTTTAATTTCTTCGTTTGTGAATTACAGGTCTGCCAAAATAAACCTAGAATCTGTCAACTAAAATCACATTGAAAAATACTTTTCACGATTTGGACATTTGGACATGATGAAAGTAACCTTTTTTCAAATATTATTTTCTCATTTAGTTAACTGTATTTTAAAAATAGATCGTCTTTATCACATTGAAGATTTAACTATTCCACCCTTTGTTTCTATCTGTTTCATATACTTTGTAGTTCTGTCACTAGGTACAGAGATAAAATGGACATTAGAAAAGATAAAATGGCCAGGGGCAGTGGCTCACACCTGTAATCCCAGAACTTTGGGAAGCCGAGGTGGGCGGATCATGAGGTCAGGAGTTCGAGACCAACCTGGCCAACATAGTGAAACCTCATCTCTACTAAAAACGCAAAAATTAGCCAGGTGTGGTGGCACATGCTTGTAGTCACAGGCTTAGGAGGCTGAGGCAGGAGACTAACTTGAACCCGGGAGGCAGAGGTTGCAGTAAGCCATGACTATGCCATTACCCTCCAGCCTGGGTGACAGAGCAAGACTCAGGTCTCAAAAAAAAAAAAAAAAAAAAAAAAAAAAGAGAAAGAATAAAGAAAAGCTAAAATGTTGGTTAATTAGCAATATGTAACATTCTGAAATGTGTTTGTACCCTTTTTAGTTTTATTCTATATTTTCCTGGACAGCCTAGCCAGTACAGTAGGTCAAGTAAAATAAATATAAGGCAAAAAAGATAAGAAGTAAAATAATGTTTATTTGCAGGCAATATGACTATAGAAATCCACAAGGCAGCTATTAAAACTGATAATTGAACACAGCAAGGTAGCAGAGAGGAAGATTAATATACAAAACTGCATTTCATACTAGAAGCAAATAAGTTTTATAAGCAATTCTATTTGTAATAGAATATACAAAATATAAAATATGTATTTTATATAAATAAAATATATAACAATAAATTTAACAGAAGTATAAAACCTGTGGGCTGAAAATTATAAAATATTGCTGAGAAAAATTAAAGATGATCTAAATAAATAAATACACCCATTTCATAAATTGGAAGACTCAATTTTGTTAAATGTCAATTTTTTCAGAATTTATTTATAGAGTGAATGTAACTCCAATCAAAATTTCAGAGCTCCCTTTTTTCTGAGGGGGTTAGAAATTGGCCTGTTGATTCTGAAATTCACAGTTAAGGCAAAGGACCTAGAATAATGAAAACAAAGTCTGATTTACAGACTTACTATAAAGCCATGATAATTAAGCCTATAGTATTGGCCTGGGAACAAGTAGACAAATAGATTAATAAATGGAGCAGCACAGGATGTCTAGATGTAAAGCCACATATACAATCAATTGATTAAAAAAACTTTTAGAGATAGAGTCTCACTATATTGCCCAGGCTGGCCTTGAACTCCTGGCCTCAAGAAATCCTCATGCCTCAGCCTCCCAAAGAGTTGGGATTACAGATGTGAGTCATCTGGCCACAATTAATTGATTTTTGAAAAAAGCACCATGAGTATTCATGGGGAAATAATTTTTTTTCAGCAACTGGCGCTGGAATAACTGAATAGACGTGGGAAAAAAATGAACTTTAACACTTACCTAACTATAAACAAAATTTAAGTGAAGATACATAATTGACCTATGTTTAAAAGGTAAAATTATAAAGTGTCTATAAGGAAACAATATCTTAGTAAGCTTGGCATACACAACGATTTCTTATGAAAAGCACTAACCATAAATGAAAAAAAAAGACAAATTAGACTTTATCAAAATTTAAATGTTTTCTCATTAAAAGACATGATTAACAAAATGAAAAGATAAGCCAGAGGTGGGAAGGAAGATATCATATATCATATCACAATACATATATCTGACATCAATATAAAGAACATGTATTCACATATAAAGAACTCATACAATTCAACAATAAAAGACAACCCCATTTAGTGGCACTAAGGACATGAAAAGGGACAAAACATAATAAATTACAGTATTAAATAAATGTAAATTTAAATCACAATAAGAGACCACTTCAAACCTACTAAAATGCCTAAAATTTCTTATTTTTATTTTTATTTATATATATATTTTATTGCATTTTAGGTTCTGGGGTACATGTGAAGAACATGCAGAATTTTTGCATAGGTACATACATGGCAATGTAGTTTGCTGCTTCCATCCCCATCACCTATATCTGGCATTTCTCCCCATGTTATCCCTCCCCAACTCCCCAACCCCCACTGTCCTTCCCCTAGTCCCCCCCCACCTCTAAACACCTCAGTGTGTGATGCTTCTCTCCCTGTGTCCATGTGTTCTCATGTGTGAGAACATGTGGTTTTTGATTTTCTGTTCTTGTGTCAGTTTGCTGAGAATGATGGTTTCCAGATTAATCCATGTCCCTACAAAGTACACAAACTCATCATTTTTTATGGCTGCATAGTATTCCATGGTGTACATGTGCCACATTTTCCCTGTCCAGTCTATCATTGACAGGCATTTGGGTTGGTTCCAAGTCTTTGCTATTGTAAACAGTGCCGCAATGAACATACATGTGCATGTGTTTTTATAATAGAATGATTTATAATCCTTTGGATATATTCTCAGT